AATATGAAATCAAGTCACATCTAATTTATAAGGTTTTTAATTTATAAAGAAAACTCTTTTAATATTTATTTTTTTATTTATAAAAAAATTAAATTTTTTTTATTTGAACTAATAAATTACTAGTGCAAGTAATAATTATTTATAAAAAAGTGATATTATAGGGATAATTTTTTTATTTTATTTTTTTATACAATTTTTACATATTATTAAATAAATAGATGTATTTAATATTACGGATATCATATGAATTAAAAGAACTAATCATTTTAATAACAAATTAATTTATACAAAAAGATAAAATAATAAGATTATATAAAAATCATTTTCTCTTATAAAATATTAAAACACCTTTAACACCGTGTGAGGCCATCTTTTCGGTCAGCGCCATTTCCACCGCAGCAAGAGCCGCGAGTGCCGGCGGAAAATTGTAAGATTCGTCGTCGATACTAAAGCACTTAGGTGGACCAAAAAGGTGCCGCCGCTGGCCCATTGCACTAACAATTTAAATTTCGAAATATTAGAAGATGGAGACAGTCTGGAACAGCCTGATTTCAAGTTGGAACCATTATTCACAACCCTTTTTTTCCCCTGGAAGAAATCGCCTCTTTCAGTTAAATCCATGGCTGCCATTTCAGAGATCCCGGCTTCGCTTCAAAGGTAAGCAGCTCCTTGATCTCCTCCTCCTCATTTCTGTTATCCATGATCTGTATTCATGTTTCAATGCAGCAAAGAAATCCAGAATCTCCCATCTCTATTCAATTTGATCTGCTTCTCATTCATCCATATATCATCTTAAACCTTTGTTACTTTTTTCATTTTTTCAAGAATCAGCAATAGATCTTATTCCATATCTTAGATTTTAGAATCTAACTAGTTTCACTTTGGGCATCTGCCGTTGTCTGAATTTGCAGGTAGTTAATGTATTTGGGATTTTTAAATACAAGAGAGAGTACATTGCAAGTTAGCAACCTGAAATTGGAATTTTTCTTCCGACCAGGTTCCAACCAGCGTTTTTGGTACGAGGAAAAGTTGGATTTACTTTGAACACAAGCAACAACATATATATTATAGTTCATGATGGTAACCTGTGCTGCAATTCTGCTGCACTTGTTAGGTTTTTGGGCATTTTCCTGTGTTAAACTTGTCATAGGTTGGTATTCTTTTACTCGAATCGCTCTGTAGAGAAGAATGATGATTCTTCGAAATTTTTGTTCAAACACCTGCAGCTGAATTTTCTTTACTTTGTTCCCAATATTAATAATATTGCTTTCTTGAGTTTTATCCCACACTGCCCAACATAGTTCTTCCTCACATTAACCACCCTTCTAGATTTTCAGTCTTCAAAGAAACAGAGGCAGCTAGAGAATCAGTGTAGTGTCAACTGAGTTAAAACAACAACAGGAAGACATATATAAGCTCATGAAAATGAGTATTGATATAAAAGTATACTAATGAGCTCAGGCAAAAAATCTGTCACAGTTGACACCTGACAATGAAAATGCCAAAAAGATATTGCATTTCTTGAATTTTCAATATAAGATCAAGCAAAATGCTTGTAGAGATATTCACATCAGCAACAAATTATTCCGGGTGCAAAAAGAATTCCCTTTTTCCAAAACTATGAGGCAAAGAATCTAGAAGAAATTTGCTGAGTATCAAGAGATGTGGCTGAGAAATTAATCTTCTTCTCAGTGCAAGTTGTAACTGCACCACTCTTGATTCTTCTACGACAGAAACAATGCTTCCAAATAATCATCGATGTATGCTAAGCAGGGCCAGTAATCAGTTCTAATTCTAACTAAAGTTGAAATATCAGATACTTCCATTTGGAACAGGAGATGGAACCTTGGAGGGAGGAAGATCAGTACATGAATGAAACCCAATTTTCTTCCAGTAATACTTGGATGACTTTCCTTCTCGTCTTTATCATCATCACCAGTGTAAGTAAGCTGGAGGAGGCCTCTACCAAATTCAGCAACAGAGGTAGTTGCATCAAGGAGAGAATCTGGGGTTGAATCTTTCCAGATGATGTCCTTAATGAATCCTTGATCCTTCAGTATGCTAACTAGCTGCTCACCAACTACACTTACGACAAATGGTGCCAGGTAGTGCTCGGTAGCCTGAATTAAAGAGTCTGCTGGAACCTCAAGCAGTTTGACTGATCTGGTCCCACTGATTGCTGCAACCCCCTTGCCCCCCTTCAATGGAAAAGTCTCCCGTCCAGTGTTGGAAGAAGCACCACATGCATCCCACAAGGCGTCAAACAACTCAGAGTAATAACCAGCTAATGCATCTTCTGCAATGTCTGAGGGAGCTATGGCCTTAAGGAACATGTCTTCTATGCCAACAGTGATACTCTTCAGCTGACCTTGGATGATCTGACCATTTTCTGCATTTGCTTCAATCAAAACATTAACCAGCCCAGGTGTTGGTTCACGCGGTTCCAATTCAATTGTTAGAGGAGCTTTATAGGTTTCATCATCTCCAGAACCATTTTCCAGAGGCACAATATCTAATGAAACTGTTTGACCAGAAAAATGAGTGCTCCGAGAAGGTTGGCCAAGAAGAAAAGGTATGTGACATGATGGAATAGATCCATAAGATGCAGAAGATGAGAATTTGAGCACAGTAGCATATATGGCAGGGAGAGCATCTACTCCCTCTAACCCACTTCTAGGAGACTCTCCTCCCCATACATGATTAAAAGGCTCGGATTCAAAACTTAGACTGCAGGGTATTTTAACTTTCAGAGCTGGCATGTATCTGTAATCAGGAATGCATGAGAAGTGCCTCCTTAGTATTTGTAAAATCTCAGACACTTTTGAATCCATCACACGTAGTGGCTCCTGTGGCTGAACCATTCTATCAGTTTCTGACAAAGTCTGCAATTGAAGATTGTTATCGAGTTCCATTTCATCCATTGAGGCTTCATTGTCCCTAATACTGTCCAGAAAACCTAATTTGGTACTACCAACCCCTAAAGGTGACAAAGACAATGACCAAGATTGTTTAACGAGCAGTGGTATCACCCGCTCAAGGTGGATGTAGGATGCGATACCCCCAGATTTCTTGAGATCATCATAATATCGAGGAGTCTGAGCATTGAAGAATGATTGTGGAGAAGGTGAAATGCCACACATTTGCTCTTCAAGGTTCAGTATGCTTCTTAGCTTTGCTCCTGGTAGACAAATTAGCATGCGCAGGAAGATCCTGAAAAATCCACAATGAGGAAAGGTCAGAGGAAACAGACTAAAACACACCCGTTTCATGTTAAGATTCCTTTAAACTTTGTTTAGACAGTATTTTTAAATATGAATTAGAAGAAACTTTGGACAGTGCAACAATCCTGGAAAAGTAGGTTCAGCAAATGTTTTGATAAAAAGAATTAAAAAGAAGATGAAAGTATTGTCCACTGTACCTTGCATGGTCACGAACCTCCAAATCTGGGAAGTAAAGGCAAGTGAATGCAAGAAGATGTGATAAACCAAGGAACAACCTAGAGCTATGATGGTGACTCAGCATAGTTCGGCAGATGCCAAGAACCTTACTACCCCGAGACCAAGATCTAACTCCAGTATCTGGGCCATGCTTCTCGACGAGAAAGATCATGAATTTGGTAAGCAAGTCTAACAATCCATGAGGAGGTATGGTGTCATTCTCAGCAATCCTGTCCAAAATTGGGATATAAGAAACTAATCTATAATCTACAGTGACTCTTGGAAGCAAATTATTGTCAATAGTTTGCAGCAAGCTCTCTCCCAACCAACAATGCCTTTGACAGCCCAATAAGCGGTCAATGAAAGCAACAGTGACTGGAACCAATCTTTGAAACTCTAACATCAGATCCACTAGCATCTTCTGAACAACAGAAAATGAAAAATCAGCAAAGTAACAGATGCTTTAAGCTTGATATACACGTTAAAGATAAACCATATGGACGGGTTCACATACACATTACATATTTAAATAGAACAAAGAACACGGAAAGAACAAACAAAGTTGAGCTGGGCAGCACTTCATTGCTAGAAACCCTATTCAAGAACCCTGTCCTTCACCCAGATGGATCCTATATTCTGTTAATGGCTCCATTAAAAAGGACAAAGTGGTTTTGCAAGTCCAAGGTAAATCTCACATAACCTATGAAATCAAGAAAACCGAGGTTAGGTTGAAAAGAATTTCTTCTGTGACAGATGAAGGTCCTTAAGTACAATACCAGTTTGTAGCTTTAGGACATATTCCTCAAAGCCTAAGTTTATCACTGTAATTTCCCTAAACCATCTTGTACCTATTTCACCAGCATTGTTATGGCTATTGTCCTGGTACCTATTACGGCCCCTATAATTCCAGCTACTGGACTCCAACCATCATCTTATTATCTAACTTTCATAAATTCAATTTCATGTCCATTTACAGTAGCTGAAAACCCTTCTCTGAAACAATAAATCCTTAGCAACCTAAATGTTTGCAGCCTTAGACACCTTCAAAGCTACATTAACTGAGGAGTAACTTGTAATACATGGACTAAAAAAGCTTGTAATACGTCAATCACTAAATTCCAAACTTCCAGGTCCAAGTCTGTAGATTATTTAAAGCATATGTTCATCCATCCCTCTCCTTCAGTTTTATGGAAAGAGTTGAAAAATCAAAGACCAACTTGATTTCCCATTCATTAACAAAAGTGGAATATATTGTTTAATGGTCTGGCCACTATGCACAGATCTTTTTACCAAAAATATTCAGAATCTAGCATTCCTCAAAATCCTCAACTGCAAGAAGACCATTGAACAACAAAGAACAGACTGATATACATATATATTTTTTCAAGTGGCCTGTTTAACTTTTAATTCTAAAATTCATGCTTATAAAATACCAACAGGTTGAATATTTTCACAGGTAAACCAAATCAGAAAGGCTAAAAGGAAGAAGGATGAAAAGGGGGCTACCTTTAAAGTACGAAAGATGGTGGACTCCATGAGAATTCTAGTGGTGGAAGGATCAGCATCAGAATGAGAAGATGCACCTATCAGGAACTTATGGAACACACGGAATGCAACTGCAGTTTCTGTGCTCCATGAAGGCATCCATTTGAAAGCCGAAACAGAAAACAGACCATCTTCAAATAGCTTCACTGCAGGATTCCCATCCCCGATAACCTCTCCTGACACACTTTTGTCTTTCAACATTTCAAAACAAACGGAACAAAAAGCAAGTAAATCTAACTTCAGTGCTTTCAATGAAAGTGGATCAAACACGGTTGGATAAAATAAAAAACCCATATCCACAATTGACTTCTTCTTCCCAATCTCTCCATCCAATACCAACTTATTCAACAAACCTAGTAACCAATGGACTGAAAGCAAGCGAAATACCAAAAATTGCTGTGTTTCACGTGAAACCAAGATAAGTCTTCTTACTATATCTAACTCTTGCCCATCAAAGGCTTCAAAGAAATGCAAATACATCATCAAAACAGTATGGCACAAAGCAGGACTAAAGGAATAAATCATCCCAAAAAACTGCACCTTCAACATAGAGGCCTGCAACTCCAAGGCCACAGCTATCGGCATTATCATTGCCATAAACTCCATCATCCCAGAAGGCGTCATAACCCTTGGCCACTCCAACAAAAACGCCATTGCTCTTCTCAACTCCTTATAGTTCAACCCAGAAACCTCCTTATTCAATCCAGAACTAGATCCCAGCATCCTTTGAGGCACACAAAACGGAACTAAAGGCACAGAAGTATTCAAAATCGAAATACTTAGCTTCTGATTCACAATATTGTAAATCACAGTCGCGAACAACAAAATATAACTCTGAGAAGCATGAGTACGCTCGCTCTGGCACAAGCTCCACAAATGACCAGCAACATCAGATAGCAAACAAGGGTAAGATTTCTCCAATTCTCGCAAACACTCGCACGCAATACCTCTGGTATGGCGGTCGGATCCAGGATTTGTTCTATTGATAACAGCCAGCAACAACTCCACCACATTCTCCGTAAAACGAACGTCAAACTCCTCAAACGAATTGATCGAGATCAAGATAGAGGTCGCCGACACCATCATCTGCTCCTTCAAAGCGTAGGTGATGTGGATGTTATCGAGGGGAGATTGGACGATGACTGTAAGCAATTCGACGAGACGGTCCAAATGCACGGGATCGTTGAAAAGCGTGAGGGAGAACTCTTCGAGGAAGACAAGGAGAGGGATCTTGAGAGGGAAGTCCTTCCGGAGGAGGGAGGAGAAGGCGAGGTCGAGGAGTACAGGGGTTGGGTAGAGGGAGCTCCATTTCTCGCGGCGGGAACCTCCGTACTGGAAGTCGTCGATCAAGGCTTCCCAGTCCTGCGGCGTGAGAGGCCTTGTCGGCGGTTTCTCGACCATTCTGTGGTGGATGAAACCCTAGAGTGGACTGAAATCGGACATGGATAGCGAAAGTGGAAGAACACAGAAAGAATTCGATATCGGAATCGATGGTGATTGTGGAACTATTACAGAGATGGAAGTGGGGAGGAGGATTACACCGGAATTTCAAAGTTGGATTGTGAAATCCAGACAGCAAATTCCAGTGGAAATTCAATTGATAGAGAAATGAAGAAGGCGCTAATTATCGACGAATTTACATTTTTGTCCAAGCTTCCAGCAAGTTGCCATGTTCAAATCTCTAATCATGATCAGAATCCAAAGGTCCCTCAATTATCATACAGGCTCTTAAATTGATTTCTAAATTAAAAAGTTTTTGATTAAGTCCCTAAAACTTTTAAATTTGGCTCTAAATTGATCTTTTCGTTTTAAAAATACAATATTCATTACTTAAGTATAAATACTTAATAGTAAAAGACTATTACTGGAAAATCGCGTGTTACATTAAAAACAAAATATATCAATTGCTTTTAGGCAGAAGAACTAATTTAGAACTAAATTTAAAAATTTTAAGTACTAGATCTAGAGATTTTTTTTTATTTAAAACCAATTCAAGACTCCATATATATATATATATATATAATAGTTAAGGGACCAAATTGAGGGTGTAACCAAGAATAAAACTTAAGATCTCTAAATAAGTCTCAGGTTCTTGATTGAGGGCAGGGATAGCCATCACCTTTCAAGGGTTTGTTTTGTTTTAGTAAGATGGTATTGAGGTCATGACAAGTCTACGTTAATGAGTTGCAAGTCAAAATACACCCAAATTGGATAAAAAAATAAAAATCAAGAGTTACCGCTCATTAATTATGCAATAACAAAACAATTATATTAGACTTCTAGTTTTAATGCCATTGAGGGGAAAAAAGGTTGATCAAAAGTAGAATTTACTCATTTCTCAAATGAAGCAGGGAAAAAGCAATAAACAATTTCAGGCACTACAATGCAGTTTGATAAGTAACACAAGTTGAAACTATATACAGCCCAAAACCCATGATTTCTCTGGGGAAAGAATGTATAGTCAAAGTATTCCTCCCAAGAAACCAACATTTTCTAACTTGAATTTGCAGTTGGAGCAATATTTGTGGTTACGATTCAACAAAACTCATATCAAGTTTTTTTTGCACTTAACTTTGCTGCCTCAATTTCTAAGGAAAGTAAACTCAGAAGTCCCAAAATCATCTGAAAAGATGTAATACAAGAAAATAGGATATGAAAAACAATTCTAAGTTACCAGTCATTTCACCATACTGAATTCAATTTATTCTTTTTGAGTGAGAAAAAATAGCATCACTCTAAAGAGGCAAAGTTGCTTCAATTTTCCCCCAAGAGTCAAGAGCTTCACCCTTGAGTCTCTTCTTCATCTTCTCAACCACGTCTTTCGCCTCCTCCACCTTAGACATTTCCGCCAGCCCCTTAACCAGACCCTCCACTGCCTCAAATGGAGGAATCCACCTCCTCTTTATAATTTCCTTACAAATCTCCAATGCCTGCTCAAACTCTCCTTCCTTCACCATGCTCCTAATCATGGTATAGTAAGTGAACGAACATGGCAAAACATAACCATCAGCCAACATTTTCTCTAGTAACTTTTTTGCCGATTCAAAATCACCTACCCTGCAAAAACAATCAATCACTGAATTATAGCTAACTGAATTCGGCTTCAGCCCTTTCTCCACCATTTCTTCCAACAGCTTCCTTGCTCCAGTACCCTTCTTACTCCAGCACAACCTGGTAATCCTATGATTGTAAGTAATGAAGTTGCACTCAATCCCCTTCTTCACAACCTCCCTCATAATCTCATCAAATGCTTTCATGTTATAAATTTTCAGATAAGCACCTAAGATTATATTGTAAGAATCAATATTGGGCACAACCTTACCATCTTTCTCCATCTTTTCAATCCAATTGCGTGCAGATTCGATCCTCTTTTGCTTAACTAAAGATTTCAGAACAAGATTATGCGAGACGATGCCCGGGTTAACCCCAAGCTTTTTGGGCATTTCTTCAAAACACTCATTGACCTTATCAAGCGACCCGTTATCCAAATAAACAGAGAGAACTGCACAAAGGGATTTCTCAGTCACGTTACAGTACTTCTTCTGGCACAATTCCTCGAAGGTTTCCAGTGCTTTGTCCGCCAATCCAGCATTCGAATAAAGCATCATGAGCCGAATCCAAAAGCCTTCAGACTTGAGCACCGGAGTGTCTACCTGTTGGGTCTTTTGGGTCTGAAGGACTTGGTCGACGAGGTCCAAGCGGCCAGCACGAGCGAGCTTGCGGATTGAGTAGTCGTAAATGGGACGGTGGCGGAGGAACTTGGGGAACTGGGAACATTGCTTGAATATCTCCGCGAGCTTTTCCGGGTCCGATTCGGAGACGATGGCGGATTTGGCTGCCTTGAAAGACGGAAACGGCGGCTTCTGAGTGCAAAATGTAGAGAAGAAGAGGGATTTGGGGAGGAAAAGTTTAGGGTCTTTGAAGATGGAAGCCATGGAGAGTTACAGGAAGAAGAGAAATAGGGTTTTACAATACAGGGGAGATGAGGCGGGATATAAGATTCATTGATGGATCAATCTGAAAATCATTAAGTCCAAGCCCAATGAAGAAATATGGGCCTAATTTCGTGACCCATGTTTTAAAGGAATAACCCCAAGTTGGTCCCTCTACTTAGTTTTATTTTACTTTTTTGCTCTTAAACTATTTAGGCCATTCAACAATACCATTTTTCTGTTAAGGCTTAAGGTTAATGTCAGAAATGCACAGAGAGTCATGTGCCCATTTGTCCCTCATTACTATAATTACTAATTGTTTACACCATAAATTGTAGAATTTTAAGTTAATGCCACGTGTAAAATTTTTATTGGCTGGAGGAGTTTGAGCCATGTCAGATTCGGATTCTGGACCCTATGACAGATCAGCACATGAGTTGGCAAGATAGGAGAGGTAAAAATAATGTTTTATGGAGTAAATCTCTCAAAACCAATATAAAAGGTGATATGATTATTTTTGTTCTTATTGGAGATAATCATGATTTATGTTAAATTTTAAAAGTGGATAACACATGAAGGCTAATGTAATATGCACAAGCATAAATACGAAGTAGACGTACCTCTACCTCCATCGTTAATTTCAGGTCTTAATTTTTTTTTTTTACTAACCCCTCGATATTGGATAATCACATTAGATTCGACTAATACAGAATTGAGTTGCGTCAAACCCTATTAAGAAAAATCTTTCTTAATATTTGTTTCTCTACTCATAAGACTCAAACTCAAGATCTTATTTAAGAGGAATCAAATTTTTTCCATTCAAACAAATTGATCATTGGTATTTCAACCTTAATTAACAAGTCCTAAGGTGTAGTAGTTCAAGAATCTTAATAGAATAAATAAGCTAAGTTTGAGGGGGCTAAAACGTTTAAAAAAAGGTTTAAGTACCATTTTAGTCCCTCAACTTATCACTTTGGTACCAAAATTGTCCTTCACCTTTAAAAAGTACCAAAATTATCCTTAAA